TTTTCTTTTCCCTCTAACAACTGCTGTAATCTATTTTGTTTATTTTGCTGTTCGAGCTGCCATTTTTTAGGTTTTCTTGCCACTGCTGTAACCTCTCTTCTTGTTTCTTTTCTCGTTCTTCTTGTTTTTTTTTGCTGTTCTTGTATTGCTGCCATCAAATCTGCTAAGCTGTAGTTTGATTTGACGCTTCTCGTTTCCATCTTCTTCTTTTTTTCTTTTTTTTATCCCACTTCTGACACCAATTTGTTACGCCTCTGGTCTTTTGTTAATTTCCCGTATAATTTCTTTCGGATGAAACTTTAGTGATACAAGTCCTTTATTAAATAAAACTTGTTTATTCTTTCTCAATTCAACTTTGTAATACACTTAATTTCCACAGTCACTTTAAACACACGCTATAATTCACAATATTTCACGCACTTACTTATGGTCACTACCACGCTTGACTCAATTGTCCGTCTTTATCTCTGCCTGTCTACAATTCAATTCCGATTAATTAGTCTCACGTTATCTGGCACACTTATATACAGGAATAGAGGGCGCTTAGCACATACTGGATTATTCGTGATGTTCCCCGATCCTTCTAGAATATCATGACGTGTTACCAGAGTCACGTGACTACCGCTGTCGTAACACCTGTTTCAAATTTACCTCTAGCATTTTTAGTATATAAAGTATTCATTGCTGGTGTGGCCCGGCATGGTCAGGTGGTTAGGGCACTCGTCTCGTAATCTGTGAGTCGCAAGTTCGAATTCTTATTCCACCAAACATGCTCGCCCTTTCAGCCGTGGGGGCGTTATAATGTGATGGTCAATCCCACTATTCGTTGGTAAAAGAGTAGCCCAAGAGTTGGCGGTGGGTGGGGATGACTAGCTGCCTTCCCTCTAGTCTTACACTGCTAAATTAGGGACGGCTTGCGCAGATAGCCCTCATGTAGCTTTGCGTGAAATTCAAAACAAACAAACAGACATAAGTATGACATCCCCGTCGCACTGAATATGCACGCTGTCAGGTTTTTAGGATGGATGTATGTGCATGATTCTTTATAATAGGTGTCTGTGACTTGTTGACGATAAATGTCAACAATAAACGGACAGCACACAATCCACTTGTTTTAAAATAATATATTCAAAACACGTCAAACGTATGTACAAATGTTCATTATACAGTTGTATTTATAGCTCTACATAATCACCTCTTTTCGTCAAGAGTTCACACAGGCTGGTTCAGTTACTTTAAAACCTAATTAACGAGACAAATTGTTCTTCTCCACTCTGTTATCCCAATACAATCAGTGATAAATTCACTTACGTTACCCAGAGCTTGAAATAATTCTCTTTTACGTCTAAAATCCACACAGGCTGGTTCAGTTATTTTAACAACCTTTTTACAAGAAAAATTATTCTCCTTTAGCTGTGTTATTACAATACAAGCTGTGAAACTCTTTTTTTTTTTTAGAAATCGCCCATTAGCATTAAACTCACACACAGTCTAACTTCCAATTTTTTCCCTTGTATTTACTTGCACTAAATTGGTCGCCTATATGTATATCGCCCAACTGAAGCCTAGAACTTTCTACAAACTATGAGATTTTATGATGTAACAATACTCAAAGCAACAATAAAATTTCAGAAGGTTCGAGTAACGTTACGTCAATTCACAATAATTGAAGTATGCAACAAGTGATTCGTAAATAGTTTCGTAAGCAAACCTGCAATAACTATTTTCTCTAGAAATAACTTACTTTAATGCTCACACAATATGAATTAAATAATACTTTCGTATTAGACAGTCGTTTATACCTAACTCTCATCCTTTCAGCTGTGGGAGCGTTATAATATGACGATCATTCCCACTATTCGTTGGTAAAAGAGTAGCCTAAGAGTTAGCAGTGGATTCCTTTTCTCTAGTCTATCACTGCTAAGTTATGGACAGCTAGTGCAGACAGCTTTGCGCGAACTTCAAACCAAATTGTAAGGCAAGACTTTTTATTGGGGGGAGGGAGACTATGGGAACTATGTGTTACTTCTGGTACATATAGGATAGATGTTCGTTTATTCCTATTTAATCGGTCTTATAAAGACTTTTAAAATCTAAAATGAGCAGTGAATTATTGCGTATTAACACTTAATTATTACAAGTATTATTATTTTTACTACAAAGACCTACAAGTCCAGTGTGCCACTCGTTTTAAAGTAGAATCTCCCCCACCCCCAATTCCCAACAAGCAAGGCGTGAAATCAGATGAGTCTTTTAGTAGTTGTGGACAATTTTTTTTTGACTGAGAAAAAGGGCACTTTTGGGACAATCAAGGAGGAAGGCAGGAGCTTGAGTTGTTTATAAGAAGGGGGTTTTAGGGAAATCCTCGAGTTCTCCAAGGGGTAGAGTGGAAATAAAATTACCTTTGTGCAAACCTCGGGACTAAGCCGATTTGTTTGGTACCATTTAGAAGTCAGTGCGACCAACGGTTTAGGAGGAGTTACGTGACATACAGACACTGAATCCTATTATACAGACATTTTGAGACAGTTGTTACAGTAACCACATTGTGTTTTTGACTGTTAAACTAGCAAACATGGTTTTATACCACCTATGAAAATAAACCCGCAAAAGCGACTTTATTAGTTAGTATTGCTAGTAGAAAGCAGGACAATTAAATCTAATCTAAATAAAACCCAAGTCTGTAACAATGGACCTCCACGACTTGGCCTAACTAAATTTCCTCTTCAAGGGAGTGTTTGGCGAATGTTTCTGCAGCAAAGAAAAAAAAGGTAATAAATCCAAACTCGTAGTTGGAAAAATGCACACCTCAAACAATTTGCCAGAATCTACTCAGTATTTAATCTAACGCAGAAGATCAAACACACGCAAACAACAACCACAAAACTAATTTAAATAATAAATTCCAGGAGTATATGATTAACAATTTAGTAACCTCCAAATATCATTTTATCAAAGAATTAACTACGTTTAATCTATCCCTTCATACGAAATAGTAAGAATTTTATATGTATTACCTATATATTAATATATACCTTTATATATGCTCTTTGAAACTTTCATTAAAACAGCCTTGAAACTTTAATCATAAAAAACTTGTGTATTTTCATGTCTTGATAAAGTAAAAAATAAATTATTAGAAATATTATTATCATCATGAACCTATCACAATCAGAATCATAGTTAGATAAATGCAGACTACAATTTTAAGTAACGCAAACATATTTTTGATTCCGCCTAGTGGTTAGCCTGCTGGGTTGCGGATCAAAAGATTTATTGAATTTTGATATGCATCTGGATACGATCCGCACATTCAGTGGTGGGGAATTTCTTACTGCGCAGTCAATCTCACTGTTTGGTTAAGAGTAGCTGAAAAGGGTTGAGTTCTGATGACTGGTTCTTTATTTTGGTCAGCAGTTCTGAGGTGTCGTTCAAAAGCCTACTTAACAAAAGAAAATATTTATATGTTAGGTATGAGATGGCTCCCCAGTGGCACAGCGGTATGTCTGCGGACTTACAACGCTAGAATCCGGGTTTCGATACCCTTTATGTTGCTTTGTGCTTAACTCCAAACAAGTATGAGATGATAGGTCGTTATTCTGATAAAATAGGCTTACAAATCGATGTTACTACATGTACACACTATGTGTCTGAACATCAAATCAGTTGCACAAGCTTTTATATTTTCTCATCTCAGTTAAAGTTAAGTAGACTACATTTACCAGCATACTGGGGATATAATCTTGTTACAATAAGTAGCACATAAGATTAAAACAGCAAAACTAATAAACTTTATTATTTCGTGCTAAGCATATTGTTACGTCTGCGATCGTTTGTTAATTTTCCGTAGAAATTCTTTCCGAGAAACTTCTGCGATACAAGTCCTTTCTTAAATAAAACTAGTTTATTCTTTGTCAATTCAACTTTGGAATACACTTAATTTCCACAGTCACTTTAACTTAAACACACGCTATAATTCACAACGACTCACGCATTTAGCTTACGGTCTGTACCGCTCACTTCACTCGATTAATTGTGTCTATACCTTCAATCTCTCTATCTATTACTCCAGTTCCGATTAATCCCCTCCCGCTTTGATTATCGGCTTATATATTAGAGTACAAGTCTGGTAAACACTCGAACCTTCACGAACCTTCTAGAAACTCATTACGTGTTACCAAGTTCACGTGACTTCCGCTGTCGTAACAATATCTTGTACTAGCCGTGACTTAATAAAGAGGTTAATGGCACAATATTTTATTCTATACTTTTCACTGTCCATATAAATATATCTTATATCTTAAAATATATCTTATAAATAAAATTTGTTACCAAGTGTAACATATAAAAATATTTCAGAAAATTTTAATTTAAACACAAATGTTTTCATAATCGTTTTTCACTGCATTAATGGCAAAGACCTTCAAGAGATCTTGACGCATCTGTTGTATAAGTAAAATACAGCGGCAGAAAATACTTAGTTTCATTTGAAAATAATTCGGAATTCCAAATTCAAAAATTGTCTAAAGTATATAGATTCCACATTTGGCATATTGATTTTCTTGAATCATTTTTGTAGTTCCTCGTCGTAATCGCAGACGTTAAACAGTAAATAAATTTGTAGTTCCTCATGATAAACGCGAACATAATACTACGAGTTTAAATTTGATACGAGTTTGAAAAATATTGTTTTACGTTTTTATCTAATTTATTACAATTTTCAGAAAGCGTCTTATCACCTAAAAATTGTACCATCATACAGCTCTAACTTATCATAAATATTCAGAGAAAAAAGCATATAACTCTATTACATGCACAGAAGTTCTTATGGATATATTTTTCAAACAAGATTTTAGAAGAGTTGGGGCGATAAGAGCAGTTTTGATAAGCTGTAAAACTTTCGTTAGTTTATCAGGTTATTAATTTAGCCACTAGAGAGCGCTTTAATGTTGCTAGAGTTGCATAATTGTATGCAGAGTTGATTTGACAAATGTTTATCTTATCCGGTAGCAACGGCATTAAGACAGCTAAAACTTTGACATTTCTTGAAGTTGAAACTACTTCGAAACGCTTTCCAACTTCAATATTTGTATTGGTTTGCTAGATAATTTTTAAGTGGAATACGTGACTTAACTTTAAAAATTTAATTTGAAGCCCAGAAGGGACACTTGTTGATGATAAGAGCGGGAAACACTAGTATTTGGCCGCGAAGATTTCAAGGGGCAATTTTAGGCTCCTGTCGTATTTTGATCTAGAACGTGTGCGTAATATCTATTGGTTTAAATTTCTAGATTCTTAAGTTAGGTCATGGGATGTACCGTGAGTACTGTTGCCGAAAAAGAAGCGGCTCAGAGATCGAAAAAAATCGACAAAGGCTTGCGAGCTGAAGAAGAAAGGCAAGCTAAAGAAGTCAAATTGCTACTTCTAGGTAAAATAGTTGTATTAAAAATCGTGTAATAAGTGTTAAGGTAGTTTTTTCTTGAAAGTTTCCATCATTTTTCTTGTTATATAAGATTGTTTTAATAACATTTACTTTTCTGTACGTGTTTTGTCAGTTTTGAACTACACGTTCCTCCTATTACATCACTATTGCCTTAGCCCTACTTTTAGGGAAATACTGTATTTCTAATACTATTTATATATTTTTAAAGTAAGTTATCGTGTGATTAGAAGTTAACAAACTTGTGATTCAGATAATAACATTGAAAATAAATAAGAATTAGTTATTATATTACCATCTGTGTGAATCCAGATATGCATATTCAAACTTAGATTAACGTTATGATTTACAGTTTGTCTATTGGAAACTTATATTTCCTGAACAAGTTTTAGCAAGTCTAATAAATTTATGATAATAACACAAAGTAACTGAGGTGAACTTAATGGTTTTATATGACTTGATCATTTTCAATTGATTCAATTCTCAAACTTTCATAGAACGTTTGTGTTGTTAGTTTTGAACGGTGAGCTTTATTTTGATTATTTGAACAAATATGTGTATTTGTAACATTGCAAGAAGTATTGCAGTCATTAGGGGATAGTTTATTGTCAAATGTAACGTTTTCGTAAAAAAAAGCAACCAAAAAGGAAAAGTTTGGAAGCGCTCTGTCAAATATCTGGATTGCGTAGAATTACTTTTCTTGTGGAGAAGCGTAACAAGATGTGAAGACATAACCGATATAACTGTTAGGCAAATCCTTGTAGCTCAACACACACACTATCTCCCTTTATATATATAAATTTTCATATGACCGAAGCAATGCATTTTTTCACTTGTTGTGCTAATAATTCTAGCTTTGTGTCCCTTAGATAAACGTTTAAATTGTTTATTTCTCTCATTATTGGTAAAAACTAAGTTTTATATAAATAGCTCTCACTGTTGACTTGCCGTTTGTATATTTTTTTCCATAGTTTTAAAGAATTTTAAAAAAGCTGCGAAAATGCCAAGAAATTTGTTAATCGTAGGATTGGTTCTGTTTAATATAAGTTACTGATTTCTTTCTACCAACTAGTTTTATACAGTTTGTTTATTTCTTTATTTGTGTTTAAATAATTAATTATAACTCTGAAGTTATATCATAAAATGTTTAGTTTTTTATGTTAACCACAAACTCTAACGTAATAATCACATTATAAATTTGTATATTATATCACCAATAATAGTCTTAAGGTACAAATTTGTTAAACTGACAAATTTATATGTAATTTCGAAATCATACATGACAATACTCGAACTTAGCATATTGTCCATACTGTTATCTACACATTATGATACCCGAGTCCAGCATATTGTCATCTGTACATGATGGTACTGTAGCCTAGCATATCGTCATCTAAACACGATGAGATAGATGGTGTTATTATTATGCTGTTATCAAACAGAATAATAACCAGGCAGTTGTGAACTGTGAAAAGAAGAAGAAACAAACTCTTCATTCAACTTTTACAGAACTCTTCATTCAACAAACCAGAATGGTTACATGGAACATTCTGTACGATGAACCGTGTAACGTACAGATGAAAAATGATTTAATACATCAATAATAATGGGAAGTGTATTCCTATTGATTGTAAGCACAAGACTGAACAGACGACCGTTATTACATCGTCAGTAGTGGAGGGCACAACACGTTGTTAAACTTGGCATGTGATGGTGGGGATGCACCAGAAAATAGTTGAAATATTGAGAAAACAATCGAAATGTGAACCGTGCTGTCACTAATTGGTTAGAAAACTCTGAGAGACAAGACGTCCACAAACATCAGCAGATACTGTTGTAGAGGTGCTGGACACCTCTGGCACCCTTTTCTGTAGGACTCGTCCACGTGGAAGCACTGTGGCCTATCGTACTGGTTTACCATGGCGAATTGTGGAGAAAGTTTTATGTACATAACCTTAAAGTGTGTCATTATGAATCTCATAAAACCTTCGGCGTCGTTTCTATAAACCACAATAATGCCGATTTTGCGCACCATGGTTTGCCCTACAGGCTATTAAAAAATCTCATAGTGACTTTATAACTACCCTGAATTTGGATGCAAGTCAAAACATACGTTCTCAATGTGTTTAATGTAAAGTACAGAATCATCACATATACGCATGCTCGAAAATTTTGCCCGGAAAGCAAAGAAACTAGAGACACACGGAATTAGGAGTGTCTTATCCCACAAACACTCTCTTGTTGTGTGTTTTTGTTCGGCATAAAATTACACCATAGATATAACACGTTGACAGACTGCTCACTGTTTTACTTGAAGTGCTAGTGTAAGCGTTTAACGTTTTTATATTTTAACAGTGCTACAAAAATACAGCATGCTAAGGAGATTATGAATTTACACTGATTACCGATAAACACGTTATTCAATATTTTTCCAATAAATATGGTGATATGTTATAATGACTGATGCGGGTAACAAATATGAACGCCGTACTTGTATGTATGTTTGTTAAAATGGGGTAATGCGATGAGCCAAGATAATTTTCTTGAAAAAGAAAGAAAGAAAGAATCTGTAAGCTTGCTGTTTGTTCTAGGAAACACTAATTTCCCCTCACAGAGACAACATTGTTAGGTTTCCTTTAATGTTTTTGTACCACCAAGTTGGAAAATCTAGTTTTAGTCCTCACACTAACGATATTGACCTAAATATTTACCATATTTAGAAAGGGTCTCTACGTGGAACATCAACTCTCACCCCATTCTTAAAATGAAAATTGCATAGTTGAAAACATTATTTCAGAATCCTTGTTCGTATCGGGTTCATTAACCTCCAGCCTCCCCTTCGTTAAAATGAAAATTACATAGTTGAAAACATTATTTCAGAATCCTTATTCGTATCGGGTTTATTTACCCCTACCCTCTCCCTCCTTAAAATTAAAATTGTATAGTTAGAAACATTATTTTATAATTCTTGTTCGTAGCGGGTTCATTAACCTCCAGCCTCCCCTTCGTTAAAATGAAAATTGCATACTTGAAAATATTATTTCGTAGTGGTTTTATGAGCAAAACGTATTTTTGTGTAGTTTATAATGTATTTGCTAATACGTATGCTATATTTTGTCCGTCTACTCTACAAGTTAGTTGATTTATTCTCCTTCAAATTGATGTAAAATAATAACGAAAGCTTCAAGGTATTGCGATGCAACATTGTGAAATATTCTAGTACGACAACGTACATGGAGTCCTCAAGTGAAGAAAGAAGTAACATTGAAATCAATACATGGCGTACATTTTTAGCCACCAGATGAGTGGTATATTTTTTCCGTGTGCCATTAGTATGCAAAATACAAAAATCCGTGCGTGAAAAGGTATTTTAAGACATGAATGATAATCGAAAAGTTTTAATCTCAACTAAAAATTACAAGACAAAAATAGATACAAATAATTTGCATGGGAAAGGTATAGCCTAAACGTAGATACATAAACAGCTAAAGCGTCAATTTCCGAATGAAAACCAGCCAAGATAGAGACGTATAGTCACCCCTAACCCCATCACTCATCCAGTGAAACTTAGTTACGTTCAGCGAGACTTAAGCATGTGAGTTGGAATTTACCTTTATAAACGAGTAACACTACAGTTGATCTTTCATCAATTATTGTTTTTTTTTTTCATGCAGTATTTTATATCTGACTACTAAGATCGTTACTCTAGCCTTTAGCTCCGTGATGTTTGCTATAGGTGTGCGATACACGATATCCTTAACATACCCCTATACTTCTTTCATGTACTGGCATCTGTAATTACGATTCACCACAGTCACCGACTTGGTCTTTACAAACGAAATGTCGCATTGAGCCTTTTCTTGCACGATTGCCATTTTAGGGGTGACACTACTCACTGGAGTGAAAACAATATACTAATAAAAACTGTTTGAGTTGGGCTACAAGACGTTGAAAACTGCATTGTTATATTTCCCTAGTTAATTAATTCTAAAATTCTAAAATATAAAAGATAATTTTGAACCACCTTGTATATATGAGATTCAAACAAATCAAAACATTTGTGTAAGAAAGCTTTCAATATGCCCCCCTCCCCCCTGGTGGCTCAGCGGTAAGTCTGTAGACTTGTAACGCTAAAAATTGGGTATCGATACCCGTGGATGGCACATCATTGAGTAGCTTTGTGTTTAACAACAAACAAACAATAGCTGATATGTTGTGGAGTCTATAATGTATAAACTCATTATTTTCTTACAAAGAGTATTGTTTTAATAAAAATGTCAGTCCTAACAGTATATACGTGCACCAATCTTAAAAGAAAAGAAACTGAAACCGCATGTATTATGCTGGAGAATGTATCATCATCTGTCGTTACTTGTCTTTAGGTTTCCTGCCCGGCTCAGTATTAACAAGTTATAGTGTTTTGTGGACAGCTACTTGTGTAAGTATTCTGTCCAACTGAGTTTTGTCACACTAAGGTTGGTAGTTCTCTGATTCATCATCGTGTACAGGCCATGGCTGTCTGAGTAGGTCATTTAGTTCTGCATGTTATATACTCCTACAGGAGACTGTTTGTGTCTCTTAACTTGTCACTTGAAACGACGAGTTGAGTGGGTCTTTTGTTACTTGCTTATTTGTTTGGTATGACGTATACAGATTTCTAAGTGTACACATGTTGCACGTTATGAGAGAGAGTGTCGCTACTAAATGAGGTACTGTGTAATATAAGCAGGGCTGGAAATGTTTTATGTGAGAAGGTTAGAAGCTAAATCTTTGCGTTACGAGTGGATGCTAAGCAGCTTTATGTAACCTGGTTTTTATTCTAAGCATCTGAACGTATTGGATAAGAATTATTTTTTCATAACAAAATCATCGATACGTCTTGCATTGTTTTATCACACCTGACTACTTGCCATTAGCTTAATTTGTTACAAAATGGGCAATCTGCGCTGTTTACACCACAGGGATCGAACCTTGATATTCCGCGTGTT